GAAGTGACCCATTTATACAGAGTATACTACTCGGCGGCTACAGGACCTGCCTGTGCACCCAACCCAACACCACCGCCCAATTGGTTGAGTCCAAGATCTTTGTTCTCATACCTCAGGGCTTGTAGTGAAGAGCTGTTTAGGAGAGTTTGGAGTGAAGGACCATCACATGAGCCAATCCCCGCACCTGTAGGTCCTGTACTACAAACCAATACTCTATACCAGTTTTGGGCTTCTCTTCAATTTTGAAACTTTTACCTAAAAATCAACAGATTTTTGTCACACATATTAATATATGCCATCGAAATACTAATCGCAAATTTATTCGCAAATATTTGTGCCAAACGTTGAGATCAAATATGTGCACAAAGTTGTGAATAACTTATGTTTGTCTAAGTTTTGCGAAACAATATGCTATACGAGTGGTTGTAGTGATTGGAAGAATGCATTGCAATTGCCATTGATTTTGGAAATATTGTTTTGAAGATCTCTTTAAACGATGGATACGATAGATATGCCAGAAGTGAATGAAGAGAATCCATTCATATACGGAATGTCCAAACAGTTTGTGAACGCATTGCACGAGTTGTTTGACATAATGGACAGTACGGGGACGGGATGTGTGCGGTTCGCGGAGATCGCCGCCCAATGGGAAGAGGACGACTCGGACCCCTTCTTCCCGAAAGGACTCATCAATTGCTTATCCAAAGTCACTCTTCCCAACGGTTTACTCACTTTCGACCGCTTTTGCGCCGGAATTAAGTTATGTCTCCTTAAAAATCAAGTGGACATCAGTAACAGCGATGATAATAATAACGGCATCGCATCCCTGGGCGCACCTTCGCCTGCATTTCCCGCTCCTCCGCCTCCACTGCTTCCCAGTCCTGGATCCCAGGAGGTGTTGCCAACATTACCAGCCCTTCCACCACCTGTTCCCCCTCATCAAACATCTCCAGCACTGATTGCGAAACCCATACCTCAGTCGTCGTACAACTCATTGCATCGGATACAGACATCTGTTGCCAATTCATTACCAGAAGGCATGCACCAGAAAAAGCCAACGGCTTCCGTATCACCTGTTCCGCCACAATCACTGCAAATACAACATAAAAGCGGTCCACACAGTGATTACAACAGTTCTGACAGCTCTTCCACTCTAAACTATCAAAGAGCTAAAAGTATGCCTCAATTGGTGATTAAATCCAATGGGAATACCGTTAACCATAAGAACCACAAAGAGATTCGTCACTTCAAGAGCGACGCCAAACTCACGTCTCGTGAAAATAACGGACAAAATAATGTGAAGAACCGTCAGATTCGGTCACCAATTCAATCGGTTAGAGCCCTATCCAAGAGCTCTATACTGAAGACCCTTCAGAGCTGGAAGGAGAATGTGTTGGGACGACAGGTCCTCGAGTTGGAGAGGATTAGCGCCAATTCTGGCAGCAAAGAGAATATAGTGTCTCCTAATGGGGATAACAATCGCAATAAATATCAGCAACAATTAGTGCCATTCCTGCCACCGCCTCATAATATGGCACCCAATGGACCGGCGATGAGGCGCGCAGCTAATAAGAGACGAGAACCGCGAAGACATACCGTCGGATCAAATGGAATCGACTTTTATTCGGTTTGATTTGATTTCATAGACAATATTCGCAACTGTTTTATGAAAATAATGTATTTTTATTTGTTTTACAGATCAGACGAATACAACAGTTAGAACAGGAAAGGGGTCTATTCTTACAGGGATTGGATGGCATCGATAGGGCCCGGGACTGGTATTTGAGACAAATTGCAATAATTCAAGACAAGATCAGTTATGTGACCAAAGTGGGCACATACCCGGCTGACTACACTCTGGATGCGTACCAGGAGCGCATAAACTTCCAGGCTGCGAGAATTCTCAACGTTAACCAACACCTGTCCGCTCTCTATGACAGCGAACGCGGATTTCCTATTCATATGAATCTTGCCATTCGTCCCATCAATACACAACTGATGGCCAACCGATCCAATGATCCCAATCGACAGCAACAGTTTGTGGTGAACCCTAATGTCATGAATCGACTCAAAGAGCAGAACCGACTCCTGACCGAAGAAGTGAGCAAAAAGTGCGAACGAATCACACAATTAGAGCGCGAAAAGTCGTCTCTCATCCGAGAAATATTTCAGTCGAGAACACAGACTATCAATAAAGTGAAGACTGAGGCCGAAGACACCACTTTCATGTAATCAGTGATCACTTCAATCACAAGAGCAAAATCAAAGCACAAATATAGTACACAATTTGTTGATCGTATTTATCGTATAATTTTGTTCAGAAAACCCGGTTTCAAACAAAAAATAAATGCTTTTCTGTAGACAATCATAAAGTAGTTAATTATAACTTATTCATAAATACCTCATTATGATACCGTATTTTGTATTAATTAGTTATTATCTAATGTTATATATATTATACAAACTTGTAAATTAATCGATAATTACAACATTTGTAATTCATTTAATTAACTTATTTATTATGTTTTGTAAAATGATTTCCAAAAAAACCAATTCATTGAGAGCTTAGTTTGAAAAAGCAATTCTTTAAACAAATTGTTTTTATGCAATATTTAAGTCCAAAATAAATGATTAAAAAACACTTAATTTTCAATTACATAACAAAATAGAGACAATTCAAAGACAATTCAGAGACGACTCGACATAACAGTGGTTTACTTAAGAGTTGGAGTCTTGAGCTGTATTTGTTGCAACTGTTGCTGCAATTTGGTCACCACTTCCCGCTGTTTCTCCTGCTGTTCAGACAATTCACTGATCACTGTGTCGTGTCTTTTACTGCAGGAATCAATGGACACATCGTTAGTATTCAGACATAAGATTGCATTTTATATACATTTCTTCGGAGATGTATTTGATCCTAGAGTTGACGTTATCTTTAGCTTCTTTCAGGTCAATACTCATGAGTAGAGGTCCGACCAGTTTATAGGTCTTGGCGTCGTCTTCCAGTAAATCCATTTCCTGTCAAACAAACGGATACATCAATAAAGCAACAGATAATCAATGAATGGATCAAATGGTGTACTTCTTTGACGATACTGTTCTCATTGAGCTGTGAATCCAATTGTTGTCTCAAATGCAATGTCTTTTGGTAGGACTTCTGGAGGGCACCAAATTTGGTGATCTCATCAGACAATTGCTTCTGAACGGCTTCTACTTGACGATACTGTTCTCATTGAGCTGTGAATCCAATTGTTGTCTCAAATGCAATGTCTTTTGGTAGGACTTCTGGAGGGCACCAAATTTGGTGATCTCATCAGACAATTGCTTCTGAACGGCTTCTACCGATGACATGACTGTCTTTATCGATGATATCTCTTGTGGTGAGTGTGGATGAGTTGACCACCGATTCAGATGAGCACTGATTGTAGATGTGATTCAAAACATGTGCTGTAATTGAGTGCAAAACACAATACAACGACTGCAGTGCACCACAAATCACACGTTATTTATGAGCATTCATTCAAATGACAGACAAATGAGTCATTATTTATGAGTAATAAACAAATGAAACGAATCGTCATTTCATGAAAAGCGTAACGAATTGTTCACTCAAATTGAGTCCCCGTTTGTGTGAATATGAATGCATTGATAGTGACATCAAACGACTCACTGTTGACTCCCTTTCACTGGAAACAGGCATTCAATTGACACCTCATTAGTGAGCGATTGGCCACCAATTGAAAGCAATTGCTTAGCATTTTCAGTGAACTCTCATAGAGTTATAGGCAGTGCTTGTGATGTGAAAAGCCATCGAAACTGACACTCAATTCACGGATCCGTTGTCTGCCATGAGATGTGATTCACCGCTGGATGCCATCGACCAGCGAATACAAGCGGAAGTGTTTGGGTGACGAACAGCGGTAGCCGTGGTGTGGAAGCGATGTCTTCATCGTTAGGTTTTGGTCGCTATTCGCACGCAATTGTGTCCCGAATTCCCAACTCATTCGTCAAGTCTTTGGGCACATCATCGGTGATAGCCATCGATGAGGCCAAGAGAGAGCACGAAGAGTACTGCAAAGTGTTGCGAGCGCTCGGACTCGATGTCATCGAACTGCCCGCCGATGAGGCCTTTCCCGACTCGCCCTTCGTCGAGGACACGGCGGTCGTCATCAATGGTATGCCTTCCTCTTCGGCGTCACTCCGACCACCGATTGTCTCGTTTTTCTGGTCACTCATCCGGTGTTGTCTATTGTCTGTGTGTTTATAGGTGTGGCCCTCATCTGCAAACCGGGTCATCCATCCCGTGCTAAAGAGGTGAGTGATATGTACTCATCAACTGATCCTAACTTTGATTTACTCTTGAGAACTGTTTGTAAATGCATTTCATTTGATATGATATTGAAATTTATGATAACTATTGCAATCAAACGATTGGGTTTTGCAATGCATTCAAAATGTACTAAATTTGAGCCCAATTTTGAAGATTAAGAGATTATTTGACATTTGATATGAAGTTTTTAAAAGAAATACTCGTTTTTTGATTGAATATAAATCGGAGATTATATGAGAAAAGGGCGTCAATTGTTGCCAAAAGTAATATACATTTAAATGAGACAAATATAATAAAGTTTTATGAATTTTCATATCAAGTGATTCATAAGTGAGTTATTTTCATAAGGCATCCGTATGTTTGATGGTTTGCATTATCAGTGAAAATAATTGGCATTTTCTTGTGAGAAGCCATATATTGATAATTGGGTTAATGTTTAAACAATACCACGAAATAGGTTTCCAAGCGATCGAGTGTTTGCTTTTTGATAAGAAAGCTCTGAAACTATTCTCATATAAAAGTTTTCATACATTCTTTGTAATTGCTTTTCTCTCAGACCATTATATCATATAGTTTTTCGACACAAAAACATTACTAATTTGCTGTCTAACCAAATAAATAGCGGTTTTATCTTATTTTTAATACATGTCTCGCACTTGAAATGAGTTTTCAAATTAATAATAAAGTTAATGATAGGAGTGTCGGATAAACAAGTGTTTAATATTTGAGTGCTATTTCCGAGGTATAATAGATTCAGATATAATGCATAGTTTGTATTATGTATTTACTGTATAAAGTTATAAAAGGTTTTTGAGTCTAAACTGAACGCCCTTTGAATGTCTGACATAATTAATCCGAGAGATGGTCTATTAATCAGATAATACCATAATTGGGGTGAAATTCATGACTTTTAGCGTCAATTATACTGAACCACAACATTGTTATATAACTTTTCCAAAACAAACAAAATTCGTAATAAATACAATAAATCATATATGTATTATATAATTAATGATTTTATCGATTGAATAAAAAAATATTTTCCCATTGATTGACCACAAATGAGTACATCCCTTGTAATTGTTTTTGAATGCTTTAATAAATCAATTAGACTTTTATTTTAAAAATTCCCTATAAATAGTTTCCAAACAGTTCTCAAACGCCCAAATAGTTTCAAATTTGTAATAAATGTATTTTGTGAATATGTTTGTAATGAAAGGTCGACACAATCCGAGCAATAATTAAAAAAGAGCTTAAACTGCCTGTCATTGAGATCGCAGACCCGAAGGCCACTCTCGACGGCGGGGATGTCTTATTCACCGGTATTTTGTTAATTCACACAATACTCTGTATATCATACTTTTGAAATTCACACAAATTGCTCTCAATGTTGACACACAATAGGACGCGAAATATTTGTGGGATTATCTCAGCGAACCAATGAGTCCGGTGCCAGAGCTGTGGCCGCAGCCTTTCCTGAATATCCCGTCACTCCCATCAGAATCCCAAACAAATTATTGCATTTAAAGTCATGCCTATCAATGGCCGGTTCAGACATTCTGTGTGTCAGCTCATCACAAGAGGCACAAGAAATTCTTAGAGTAAGTGAACAGACATTTGTTGTAATGTATGTTAATTGACATAAAATGATTGTATTAAACGTATGAATAATGACAGCGAATAGTACGTGAGGCCACTCATCGATACCATACACTGACTGTTCCCGAGAACACGGCAGCAAATACTCTGTATATTAATGGAACTTTAGGTAAGATTTGTGTTTTCATTGCCTAATAAACCTGATATCTTATGAAAGTGTTTGTATGATTAGTTCACAGATCAGAGTTTCCAAACTGTTGCGAATTATTTGAGAATAAAATCGATTTCAATAAGATTGGGATCAAGATATGGGAGCTCTCGAAGCCTGTGTCACATCTGACCAGTCTATCCATACTCGTGAGGAAAGCCCGGCAAATACATACCATCGTATGATCACAGTATTCCCTTATCAACACATTCACCACTCACTAGCAAAAGAGTTTTTCCAATCATTTATTTGGCATTTTTATGATATATTTTCGGATTATTTTATTAGAATTATGGCATCAACTCATGATTTTATTATAAGAATTATAATCTAATTATTATCACATTTATCTCAGTTATGGTCATTGCATTGAGAAACAGTATTATTGAATGTGATATTTATATACGACATAAACTACTGTTAAGCTTTAAATATACTTATTTATGAGGATTTTGGCGAACAATTCAAGTCTTTGTCGATTCATTGATTAATTCGTGCCTTTTATTACTATTTGAAAAACCGGTTAAATATTTCAAATACTTTAGTTTTGCGACAAAATATTTATATTGTATTTCAATTCGAAACCAATCTTTGATCTAATTATCGCTTCATTTGTAACTAGTTTTAGTGAATCACCGCTCAATTGTCCTAATATTCATTGTATAACATTATTATTCAAAATGTTTGTTTGTTTTTAGCATTTATTTAGCACATATTTAGCGACAATTATTACTATTAATACAGTATAAGAATATATATATATAAATATTACTAATATATATAAATTTATTGTCATTTTTTGTCCATAAAATGTCTCTAAAATGACTTTAATTAAAGACTTCCTTAAATGTGTGCCGAAAAGCCATTTCATTGTTTATCATTCAGTTTTGTATCATTTTCTTATGTGAATCATAGATATATCGCTTAAAATGTAATAAAGCCTTAATTTGTGTATTATTTGCATTCGTCTTATTATTATCACTCGTCTCACCGGCCGTTCGCTTACTCTTCGTTGTCGTCAATAGACTCTTGTCTTGAATTCCGTTTGGGATCCGAATCTTGACTTTTCCGCTCTGACCGAACCCGCCCTCAATCACACCCTCCTCTCCCGATGGACTCAACACTACTTTCAAACCCACGAACTTCTGGACGTTTGTCTCTTTTTTGAGCAAATGTTTGACTATCACTTCGTATTCATTGGAAACCCTTTCAACGATTCCCTCTTTTGACTTCATTTTGAAAACTTTCAAATTCTGTAAATCGTTTTCCGCGTAATTCTTATCACAGAATGTCTTCAACACATTGCCATAGAATGCAAGTCTGCAGACATTGGCGTGAATATCGGTGTCCAGCTTTGACGCTATATATAAGGCGCCGGTATTTAAGATAACTGGGCGCTCGAACTCTAAGAGTACGTAATATTGTTTGGGATCACAGTTACCGGGCAACTCATCCTCATACGAGTATTGCGAGTCAAAATCAAAGCCTTGGATCCAATTGCTTGGTTTCGTTGTCTTAAAGAAAGTGGATTTTGCGATAACAGTCTCGTGAAGGACACTGATGTGGAACTTGGCTTTCGTCGCATACTTTCCCTTATAGTAAGCAATTGTGTTGACGGTTGTGATGACCGCATAGACACCACTCATGAAACCGGGCGAACACACGACTCCTCGTTCCAAGAGTTTGGGATCAAATTGTGTGACACAAACACCGACTCTATCGCCCTGAATGGCTCTCTCGATCTTCTGGTGAAACATTTGTATTGATTTCACTTTTTTGATGGCTTTCACGGAAGGGATCTCTATATTCTTGGGACCAATAAATCACAATTAAATTAATAAAACATTTGACAACTTATGGCATGTCTTACATCATTGACAGCAATTGATCCCTGGATTATAGTTCCGGTCATAACAGTACCGGAGCCACGGATTAAGAAGCAGTGATCCACCGAAAGGATTAGCTCTCCGTTTGGACTGCGCTTTGGATAAGAAATTTGATCGCAAATGGTGTCCAACAACTGCTGAATCCCAATGGGCTTGACATCACTGGTAGCGCTTCCATCGCTGCCATCACTCGGATGAGCGGCCACTGCAACAATCGGCGATGACTTGAATTTGGTTTTCTCTAACGTCTTCGCAATCTTTTTGGACATCTTCTCAACGGTTGTCTCTCTCTTATTCTCATCAATCAAATCGACTTTATTTAAGACGACAACCATTTGATCGCAAGTAATCTCTCCGATGACCAGACACTCGGCGGTCTGCGTCTGAATGCCTTTCATGACATCCACCACAAGAACCATAAGATCGATGATCTGTGCGCCGCCTATAATGGTCTT